GAAGCTATTCTGTTCTGAGTGACTAAGAGGCGTCAATGATAGTAACAACAATGAGAGAGCCGAAGAGGTATAACAGAACCTTATCCGGCACAGGTTAGCTGTTTTGTTGTATGTTTGATCTTCTTCAAATAATCTTGTTGGGACAAGTTTTGCATATGGTTGCTATGTATTTAATCTAAATTTCTTCTTTCTACTTCTACTCATTTGTCCTCTTTCAAAAACTCCGGTCTTTGGCTTATTGAATCTTTCTACTAAGAAAAATTTTGCTGTCGAATCTTAGAATGGGAATAGTAATGGATGCATGTACTTTATGAGTCTAGAACATGTTTGTAAGTACCGGTAATAGAAACTTGGACACTTGGGACAACATGTCAGTTAACTTGTTCTAAGTTCGAGAAGCTTCAACAATACATGTTGGAGTGAAGATGGAGTGGAACTTCAGCTTCTATTTTAGGGCTCCTTTGATTCACTCCAACCTTTTTTTTCACTTCCTTTATTTTTCCCGTGGCATCAAACACTTTGTGCCAATCCTATGGGATTCAAGTAGACATGCCACTCCATCTTTATTTCTCTTATATTCCTGCATTTTGAGAATCCTACGAATAAAAGAGGGCCTTACAAGTCAAGTTTTGTACTCCAGGGAGCCAAAGCAGCATTGTTGCGTAATTATACCCCTGCTGGTCAGAGTCATTGTTGGTGATAAATACTAGAAAGGGTTTGTGATGTATTTTTGTGTGTGTAAAGAATGTTCTTCCTGCAATATAATTCTGATGAATCGCTAGAACCAGCAAATATGTTGGAACCATCAAAGTTGATCCTGGACATGAAAGATTTCATTGGAAATCATGTACTACATGGTTTTACAACGAATTTTCTTCCTTTAGTAGGAGTACATAGCAGTGACAGGACAGCCCTGGTGTTCTCTTGTGAAGAGCTAAACCCTAATTTCACGCCAGCTCCCACAAAGCACTCCGATCCGGTTCTTATCTGCCATGGCCGGTTCTTCTCTGCAATTAGCATATACCAATCTGCTTCTCGCCTTCGCGGCCGCTGCCTTGTCCGACAGCAGCTCCTCGCCTTCTCGGATCGCACCGTGCGAGTTCTTGGACATGACGGAGAGCGGTGGACGCATCGGCGGCGCGTGCTGATCGGGGCGACGGCCGGGCTTGTCGAAGTAGCAGCACGGCTGGAAGCGGGCGAGGTCCTGCGCGCTCTGCACACGCCGCATCATCGGTGTCGGCGCTGGACCGGCGACGCGCGCGGCCGTGCACGGGTCGCTCTGCACGCGCCGCAGCGTCCCCGGGTGCAGCGGGGGACGCCCAGACGCCGCGGGCCGCTGGACGCCGGAGAAGAACACCCGGAAGGTCGCCGACGGCCGCGTGGCCTTCAGGCGGTCGTGCTCGTCGCGCAAGTGGGCGAGCTCCTCGTCGCAGGTGACGGACACGAGCACTTCCTCGTCGTCGGCGAGGCGGTACTTGAGAGCTGACACGATCTTGCCGCCAGCCATCTCCCCGAGCCTCGCAGCCAGCTCCCGGAACGAGACCCCGCGCGGCACGGCGAGGACGCGGGTCTCGCCTCCGGCGTACCTGACCGCGCCGTCCGGTCCGCAGGGCGCGGCTGCACATCATCCTCAGGCGCCGCTCGGCCGCCGTGCCGGACGCTTCTTGTGCCGCCATGGGTTGGTCGGCGAGTCGGCGAGTCGTGTGGGTAATCGTGGAGATGAGAGGAGTTGGGCGTGAGTGGTGGTACCCGTATGCCGCGCACGCACACGCACCGTGCCGCGCGTCTCCAAATTTATGGACACGCTAACGCGTATGTACATAGGCGGTGCGTGAGTGCGGTTACGATTCGGACCATGAATCATTCACATCGTCACGTACGCCCAACATGGCAAAGCCTCCTTCGCTTCTCGTGGAGAGCAACTAGCGCTCCGAAGCCTCACAACCCTCAGCATCATTTGGACTCTCAACCGTTCGTCATGTGTCACGCTCTGAGCATTTATTTATTTTTTGCTTTTTCAATTTTTCCGCACATGTTTCCGGTCTTTTAAACGGTTTTTTGGATATATTTTTTGACGTTTCGATTTTCCGCCGGTCTTCCTTAGTTTTTGGATTTAAAAAAATTGCACGGAAAATCACATATTTTTCGTGAGAGTCATGATTTTGCTTTCACGAGAGGCATGTTTTTGCTCACACGAGAGTCACAGCCGTGCCTCTCGAAAATGAAAAGAAAAACGTGTTTTCTGTTTTTTTCCTTCCGCGAGAGGCACAGCCGTACCTCTCGAAAACGAAAAATAAACGCATTTTCTTTTTTTCTATCACGAGAGGCACGGTTTTGCTTCCGCAGAGGCATGGTTGTGCTTTCGCGAGAAGCATGGCCGTGCTTCCTCGGAAACGGAAAAAAAAATGTGTTTTCTCTTCTTCTTTTTCTTCCGCGAGAGGCACAGTTGTGATTTCATGATAGGCACGGGCGTGCCTCTTTGGAAAAGGGAAAAAACCCGTGCTCCCGATTCGGTTCTTTCGTCTGGTTTTTTCATGAAAAAAGTTCGTCAAAACCTATCAAAATGGACTCTAATTTTGAAGATCTCGACGCGACGAATTCAACGGTGAAAGCGGTTCGAGATTTGGGCGCGCGGTTTAAGAGAAAAAATGTTTTGAATAAACGGATCTAGAAAAAAAGGAAAACTCCCAGTTACGACAAGTGGCGCACATGCAACGAACCACTTGTCGCAACCTGAGAAGATGGGAGTGATCTTTGCAATGAGTACTCAATTAGTGTTTTCGCTTCTCGTGGGTCTGAAGAAAACTCGGTGTCGATGAAGTGGGCCGGCATGGATGTCGGCCCGTGTCACAACCCAAACATAAAGATGGATGAACAACCGGTTTCTCAAAAAGAAAAAAAAATGATAGATGAACAACTGGATTCAGTATCAATCCATGGATCTTCTCAAAAAAAGTACCAATACATGGATACAAAAATTTTATTTATTTTTGAAACACGGATGGATACAAATTTGGGATACAAAGGATTTAGGATCAGAATCAGCAGGAAGGAGAGATGAGATACAGGATGCAGAAGAGTGAGGAAGGAGAACACGAAGATGAGAAGCTAAAGACGTTTCAATGTATTCGCTGCCCTCCTTTGACTTTTTTTTAGAAACACACGCACTTTATTGCATATAAGTTCAATGTTTACAGGATACATAAATGAGCAGGTGGTGCATCAAGCCACACATGCCGCCCTGCCATACGAGCTAGTCCATGAGGCTCTCCATTACATTCCCGCTATAGCCCATGGCCTGTATGCTGCCCCCCTCTATCTATCTAGCTTCTCCTCCTTTATAAGCCTTTTGTCTATTTGCGTAGCTGGGCCAAGCCCATGGCCCATGACCCATTACATTGGGAAGGCCCTGGATATGAAGAGGGTCATGACCTTTGGGGCATATGACATTCTCACCCCCTTAAAGCGCGGCTTGACCTCAAGCCGGTGACACTATAACGAAGAACAACAAAACCACCCATAGTCGATGGAGCTTTGTATCTCTCTTTCCTGATAGACATCCAACATCATAATCACTCTTTGAACTTCTATGTCCAAACTTGATCCTCATCTTAATAGTTTCCCGACCATGAAGATTCAAGATTCTAGGATGTTCGTCGAAACCAAAAGACCACTTGAACAATTGAGAAAAGCACAAGCAAACCAACAAATTATTCAATTGATATGATTACAATGTTTTTTGATGACTCCTAAACCAATCTGGACACTACAACGAGGATGGGTGGGGATTATGTTAGATATTTAGTGTGTTATTGTTGGTCACAACATGGTTTTATTGACCCAGAAAAAAGAACATGGATTCCATTGAGTGTTGGAGATAGTAGCCATGGTAAACGGGAAATTCTGAATCCATGGAAACAGAATATCCCCTTTTTCGTGTCCGCTCCACTAGAAAACTTTGTTCCGTTTGCACGTAAGAAACTTTGTTTCCATTTCTATTTTGCAATATTTTGTTTCCATTTTCATATTTTCTCTTCATTTTCATTTTTCCGTGGAAAAGTCCAGAAAGTTTTTGCTCTACTTTCATCCCTACCTACTTGTGGAAGAGGAATCTGAACATCCGCAGACTATTTCTCTTCGTCTCTTTAATGGGTCGATTTGAAATTATAGTTCGCTCCTCTTCCATAGATTCCTTCGGTTACACGGCTTTGCACAACCTATGACTTTCATTTTCTACTTGTCATCATGATGTCAGGTATGTAGTCGACAGGCATTAGAGACAAACATACAGACCTCCTCAAGAGAACAGCCGAAGGAGGAGGTGCCCACTCTTGACCTTTCCTCTTGTCTTCATAATTGTCTGTGCAGTTTAATCAAAATAAAATGACATCAGCGCCTTAGCATTTTGGTGACACTGTACAAAAAAATTAACTTATCTCATGAAAGTGAGGTATGTATGCACCGCAAAGTGGAACAACCAGTCTCCAAAACCCCGCCTCTTGTGATCCTATACAAGCGAGGGGCGATAAGCCTTTTGTGGAGCACTTTTGTGCAACTGCTGGCTTCTAAGTCTCTAAATTATTGACAGAAATAATACTTGCAAAGGCATTTTGAACAATGAACATAGACTTATGAGTCCCCAACGTGCTGCTAAAATGCCAGGTAGCAGATTAGATGCTGACGAGTAGAAAACCATATTTACCAGCGAATGCAAAACGAACCATAACAACAACACAGGATAGCATTTTAGTCACTTTATTTGGTATATTAAAGTATCAAACCTGAATTTAATTTCCATTTGACTGCAATCCTCAGTATTATATGTTCTGTCTCTACAAAGAAGAAACGCAGTCCACAAAGGACACAGACCTTATTGAGCTTAGGGGAAAAACAATGTATATAGTTCTCTTCTAATTGCATAAATATAGTCTTCTCTCTCTCACTAGTTTTCATATATAAGCTCTCGACTGAGTTCCGCTCGGTGTCCAAAACTTTCATATCTAAACCATGACTGCGCCACTGCCTGCCGCGGCATTATCTCGTCTACCGACGCGGCGGGGGTCTCCTCCCGCCTGGAGCTTGATCTTCCTCGTCAGATTCGACGTCTCCATACTGCCACAGCCGCAGCCTTTCCTTCTTCGCCTTCTCCTGGAACTGTTCCAGATTCTCGAGAGCTGTCTTCCTCTCCTTGGTGTCCCATCTCTTGCCCCTTTCAAGTCGGGCAAGCCCTTCCTGCACATATTAGCATGAGCGTATTAGGTTTAGGGATCGAGATGAGTTTTCCAAAATACATAAATATGCATCTAGGTTAGCTACCAGTCTTAATAATGTTAATGCGGAAAATAATTGAAATATAACTCGCATGTCAACCTCAAAAAAAGTAACCGGCACATTATTACTCATACGATGTTTCCATAACCCCCAGAATATGTATGTTTCTTCAAGCTTATGGAAGAAACTAGCTGATATCACAATACTAAATAAGCATTTTCAAAGTACACTTCCAAAAAAATTACGGAGATATTATATCATTGCAATTTCGATCTTAAGAAAATGTGAGCTATACTGGGTTATTGTGTAAACCTACTCAAACTGCATAAGCAATATTCTCCGGCCTATTTTTCATAGCAAACTATTTCCATAAAGAAAGCTCCTCATGGAAAGATCAAAGCAGACTTTGCAGAAACCCACCAGCCAGTAAACAATGCATAATAGTCAATAGCACAAACCTCGAGCATGGCAGCATTGATGCTGGATTCTGTCTCTGGATCAACAAGAGTCACAATGAGAACAGGTCCAGTGCCTTGTCCCTTCACTTTTCCACCAGTAGTGTCGCGCTCTTCGATCATTGCCCGGTATTGTTTTGAACTGCTTAGCAAGCATTCACTAAGATACTCTGCTGCTTCCTGACCATTATCATCTTCCAGACCAGGCACTTTGATGAAGGCAAGGCTGCACAGCTGAGCAAGAGGAGGAGAGGAGGATACTGATGGGTCTGCAGGCCGGATGCGGTTGTAAGGAACCACTTCTTGGTTACCAAAATCAATGTAGAATACTTCAAATTTGTCATCTACAGACTCTACAGCTCCTCGGGGTCCATTAACAATCTGCAGGAATTATGATGGAAATGCTCCTTAGGATATTGTACCATTTTATTATAAATAAATATGTAAAACTAATTAGTACCATGAGAAGAACAAGTATTACTCCCTCCGTTTTTATTTAGTCGGCATATTAGCTTTAGTCAAAGTCAAGCTTTGTAAACTTTGACAAAGTTTATAAACAAAAATATTAACATATACAATAACAAATCAATACCATTAGATTCATTATTGAATGTACTTTCACATCATTTTGATTTTTTATGACAAATATATTTTTTCTATAAACTTGGTCAAACTTTACGAAGTTTGACTTCAGTCAAACCTAATATGCAGAGTAAATAAAAACGGAGGGAGTAGCATGTAGCATTGCACTGAAATGGGACATCAAGCACCGTATTTTCAACAATACTGTCAACTTGGCAAGATACTGCTAATAGTATTGTCATGTGCACTGTTAGGTACTCAAGTCTGACACTCAGCATCTATCACTTCACCTAAATGATCCTAACAAGCACACCAATTCCTAAGGTCCAGTGGCTTAAGTAGAAACTTATATTTGTTAAATGCGTCAAGCTAACAGCTAATGACAGGTCTAAGTATCTATTATAGACATTGCTGAAACAAGAGTCTGAATTTAATAGCCAATCTATGACCGTGATACAAGAATAATTAGTTAGTTTTAAGTTATAACATGAGTGAATTAACTGTAGTCATACCATGGCTCTATTCCAAGAGTTGTCGAGGCTAAACTGAGCAAGAACTATCTCTCCCTTCCCAGGATTAAAAGCACCAATGACTGGTGCCTCCTTAAGTTTCAAGGATGCAAGCTGTTGTTGGATGGAAGCTACTCTCTGGTCACCTACTGTCTGGGCATAGAACTTTCCACCACCAAGAACTTCAGTAGCAACAACCTGAAGTCAGGTAACAGAGCCATGTCAGCACTATTTCAGTAACGACAAAAAATCAACAACTTCCAATGTTTTTTCATCAACAAACCTTGAGAATTTCCTTTTGTTTGGATTCAGAGGCTGACCCATTAGTAACTTCTTCACCCTCGACGTAGTTCTCCCATATCTTGATAAATAGGTGTCAGTAACAATAAATAAATAATTATGTACTTCCTAAAAGATGTAGCACGGTATAACAGGTTACCTTCAGTTTCTGCTGCTTTGCTAACTTTTCAGCTCTTGTGAGGACATGAGCATCTGGAATCCTATCCAAGCCAAATGAACTAAGCTTGGCCAAGCCAGACTCTAAAAGAACAGAACCAACGTTGGTCTTCGACTCCCACAAGGAACCTATGAATGTTCCAGTTCTATCAACTGTTTCAACCTCAATCTGCAAAATGATTTGGTATCCTTCAGATACTGGAGATGGAGATATGGACAAAGCAGAGAGGCAGCAAACACCATACCTCCACATCACGCTGTAGAATCATCCTCCTCATCAAAGCAATAGCTTCGCTCGAGTAGGGCTCATCTTTACCAGGGCACCTAACACCAGACAATGAAAAAGCGATGCTGCAAGTCTCCTTTGGAATTGTCAGTTTGAAACGATGACCGCTGAACACATATTCAACAACAGCAGTATGCCTTCTATTCCGCTGCAGGAAGGGAAGGAAATCTTTGGCCTTCTTAGAATTAACCTGAGGAGTGCAATCATAACAATCTATTAATAAAGGTGCAGAGCAAATGTCAAAGGAAACTACTGGAACAAGCAAGAATGCCAACCATTGTTAAATCGGTTATATGCATCACAGGAGGAAGTTTGTCAGAGTGAATTCCTTTCTTTGCTTTCTCAGCACGTGAGTGAGCCGCTAATAGAGCATCAAAATAATGTGATCTTTCCTCGTAGTCACGGTGTTTTGATATCTCAGCGAAGCCCCGTGAGAGCAAAAGCTCAGCAACATTAATTTTAGGCTGGGTGCCTGTGCTTGGAGCAGAAGATGTGTCATCTCCGTCCGCCGGTGATGGCGAACCTAGAAAAACTGAACCATAATCCAAAACTCTGGTATCAGCCGAGTTCATTACAGGCACAGCATTCTGTCCATCCATGGTGCTGATCCTTCTAGAATATTCCATTTCCACGGTCACCTGAAATTTTGAAAAAAGGGATATATCAGTCACTTCTCAACTAAGAATCAACTTCTCATCATTGTAACTTCAGTAAGAATATGAGCAGCCCATACATACCTGTTTGCCAATCAACCGTGTGCGCAAGAATTCCTTAGATTCACGAGCAAATTTGTCGGGCTTGTTGTCCTCCCTGCGAGGATTGCCTAGCTTAGGAGCTCTAATACTTGAAAGATTAACCCGCCGTTCTGCTGAAGGACTTCCATAAGGAGCAGCATCATCAGCAACAATAATACAATCACCACTCACAACTTCTACCACCTACAAAGACATCAATATGAACCAAATTAGTTAAGTTACAAGAATCATGATCAAAAGACTGCTACTGAGAACATAAAACCCACTTTTCCAGTGAATTTCTGATCATGGATTGGCTTTGAATTTGTCACTGGTGGCTTAAATCCAGTCCAAATTCTCAGCTGTTCCTTTTTTGCCTGAAGTTCAGCATTCTTCAGCTTTATTTTAACTTCAACATCTAGCATGTTCGCACTCCACTCCACATATTTCGCAAGACCCTGTAATGGGAAGGTTACAGAACAGTTAAGAAATGCAAAATGTCTGACAAATTAAATGAACAATTTAGCTATTCTTGCTTCTTAGAACATATAATGTGAACCAAAAATGATTATGGATGAATGAATAATTAGTCATACATTTTCAACAAGCTCAAGGGACAAGTCCTTAGCAGTGTCACCATCTGGGTAATACACCGAACCAATTATATTACTGAAACTGTCTGTCCCCTCCACCACAATTCGCACCTAGAGAAGAAATACAAATCAATACTGATTAAAAGATGATACATGTTGACTGTAAAGATGGGATAAAACAATTGAAAGAAAACGTGGCTTACATCTCTGTTCAGAACTCGAGTCTCTGTGAAATGCTTAGCTTCTCTTCCAAACCTATCTGGTGGAACTTCAGTAGAGGCTGTCGATGCAGCAAGCCTTTGTGCTGTTGTCAGTGGTGCAGGAGCTTCCCCAGAATCATCACCATTTGTAGTGCCGTTAGTAGTGCCCTCTGGTTCGGCAACAACAGTAGGATTCGGTGGTCGTCTCCCCATGGACGGAGCCTGCATTTCATCATTCTCAATATTTACTTTCTAACAGAAAAAATATATATGGAATCAAATAAAAGCTATTGAGAAGCACACCTGCACTCCAGCAACATATATCTGGACAAATTGGAAACTTGGAAGCAAGTAAACACGAATGGTACTGCCATCACGAACTTGTTCAACAATGGCTTCCAGACTCTTGCCTTTATTGGCAACTGCAAAACCCTTTGCATCAAAACCACTAAGTTCGCCAATTGCTGATGGTGGAAGATCTCTTATCGAATCTTCAGCAGCACCAGGTTCCTATAAGTTGGCAGAAAATAAGAACACAAAATTAGGTCATCATTCGATAGAACAATTGTGTCATGCAATTCAAAAGATGCTTGCAGGACAGCAGGAACCCCAAAAAGAAAGCAAACCTTGCTCCAACGGCCTAAACCCTGTTGCTTAGCAACTTCCTCCAACCTTAGAAGCTCAGAGACATTTGGAAGTGGTTCACCCCCCTTGGGGCCTTGCTCCTTTACCTGATCAAATAAGATCAAAATTTACCAAAACATTTGGCACAACAAAACAATTGAAGAAAAAGTGAATGGTCATTACCCTTGCCCATCCTGCAGCAACCACCAAGTAGGCAACGTTCTTGTCGCCAAGGTAGACAGTGCCAAATTCTCGTCCGATGTTAGGAGCTGTGTAATCCACTCTAAATGTGACCTCCTGCAATAGTTTTTAGTTTTTCATTTCCAAGTGAAAATAGAAGTGGTTTTTATGTGATTACATTCAATATTAATACATGCATAGGAGAATTTGGAATAGATAACAAAAGACACATCGTGTACCTTTCCTACGCAGAGTTTCCTCAGATACTCCCTGCTTTCCCAAGCAAATGGCTCATCCACTCCACCACGACGAGCCTAGAGCACCACAAATATACGGATTCAACAGACAAGATTAAATGGGGAGAAGAACAAAATGTACTGCACAAATAATATGAACAATTTATTATAGATGCATTCCTAAGTTTTAAATTATACAAACAGAACACAGTCAAAGAGTGGGAATGATAATGCAATGATGGAGAGAAATTCTTGTGTCAAATACGAACTTCCATTAGCTCACAAGTGTAGCATGTAAACATAATTCACTATAGAAAAGGGCGGAAGCAGATCCTGGGCAATCAAGGTTTCAACTCAGGGCCTAGATCCAAAAGCCCATAGAAACTACCATGTAAAACAAAACAAAAATGACCAATACCCTAGATGAGCAGGCCTATATCTAGCGCTGTCTCTGACAATACACTAAACCAGTGACTTACTCTAAATTAATGGAGGAAATGAACACATGCAATAAGTTAAAATGTAAACCATATTCCCCTTGGCTAAAAGTGCAGATTGACTCTTACCAGCCTTGGGGCCATAAGGTATGACAGAGTGATGGACTTCTCTGGCGGGATCTCTGCCTTGGTGCTCCCCATGATGAGAAGGCAGTCTCCAGACGTCACAGCCTTCACCTTGCCCCTTAGCCATCCTGAAGCTCCTGTGTTTGCTGCCATGATGGCACCTATATTTGCAATCAAAAGGAAACAGAACTTCATTAGCTGTGAAGTCAAATTTAGTTGAATCCTCCATATAATTCAACAATTCTTCTGTTAATAATACATGCATTTTCATAACTTTCATTGCATTTGGATTTCACAGGCCATAGGTGGCTAGAAGGAAAGTACAACATGACCGGTCACATGTGAATTGAAGATAATTAATCACCACAATGTTAAAATTTTCACATAAATCACTGCTGCTTTCTAAATGTTGCAAAATCAATCCACTCCAATCCTAACATCACAGAATCTTTCTGTCACGGCTCAGAGCATCGCATAACGGCGGAGCAGTGCACACAAAACATACGAAGCTAAATATGACCTGATACTGACAGAAACTCGTCCAGGCAGACATGCACAGAGCTGCAACACTAGCAGCCTGCGTAAATCTGTAACTAGCCAGTTAGTTAGAAAACCTCGCCAGAATTCCTGAGCCTCCGGATCTGTGACCCAGCAGACCTGAACCGCACAGGCTTGTTACATGCCGTGTTGTTCAGAACGCATTGCACTGCTTGTGGTGGGCACAGGCTAAACCCTCCCGAGTGCAGCCTTCCCCCCATGTTTCCTTTTCCGGAACGTGTTCACTTTTAGCAACTTCCGATGTGGTGCAAGGGTCTGATGTGATGCCCCCACCCCACCCTACTACACGCTGAACAACAAACATGCTCCTACAGATCTGCGATGCTCGCCGCTGACAGTGATACCCGCCCTGCCGCCTCGTTTTGCGGGAAAGCGCTGCCGTAATTTTTTTTTGCATGAAAAAAACACTAGATCTACGTTAAACCCAACACAAAAAAAAAACATATACAGTGCTTCCAATCGGATCTAGGAAAATCTACCGTAAACGACCACGAACCACCACACGAACGAAAACAGAGCCCGAAAACAGC